ATATATATATATATATAGCTCCGAAGAGTTTGGAGCAAATGCTCCAAAGAGTGCAGAGCAATTTGCTCCAAAGTCTTTGGAGTAAATGCTCCGCTCCTCTTTTTTTTTTTTTTGTGGTCAAATTCAACAAAATGCGCCGCACTTGTGCGGAGCAGTTTCTTCCGATTTTTTTTCCCCGTTCCTGCAAACAGTAGCAAAATATCTAATTATTGTGCCACGTTTGTATTTCTACTTTTGCCACCTCTACACTTAACCTGATTTATCTAAACTATATTTCAAATACTCTAAACTATATACTTAAACCCTAATTCAAAAATAAATACCGTACGCTCTAAATCTTCTATAAATAGCTTCCCCAACTGTTTCATCTTTCGCATCTATAATCATACAAACATATTACATTTACCACCTACCCCTATGAAAATTTTTTTAGTTCTACTTTCAATTTTCTGCTGGTAATTTTTAGTATCTCAAATATACTTCTTTGTTCTTGCATGTTTTTTACGCTAACATACTTTTCGCTTTATCTTTTGCTCCATTCTTTTGCAATTTACAGACTTTATGAAATGGCTACAACTTACAAATTTATCTCACAAATTGCTACATCAGAGACCAACTGGTCTGCAAAGGTCATTGTTGCAGGAAAACAATCGCCTAAAACTGCACGAAACTCTATAGCTCGATATCAAAATCTCACCTTGATGGATTTGCAGGTAACTACATATACGAATTTCTCACATTTTTCATTTTAAGTTTACAGCATATTTTTCTTTTCTTGTTCGCCTGTTCATCTTACTCTTAACTTGCAACAGGGTAACCAAGTCACGGCTACAATGTATGATGCTAATATTACAGCCTTTATTGACCAGTTAACGCTTGGGAAGACATACATAATCTCAAATGCAACCGTGAAAGATAGCAAAAGTTTTTTCAAAACTACAGAAGAAGAAAAGGTTTGGAATATAACAGGACGCACACGAGTTGAGGAGCTGATGGAAAATAGTTTGGACTTCTAGTTTTCTAAATATGAGCTCACTCCATTCCATGCACTCGAACATCATATGGACAGCGATACGAACATAAGTAAAAAATACTACCATATCAGTTGTACAAATATTACTTTAACGTAACGTTCCATAGTAATTAATACATGCAAAATACATAACAGCCTAAATTTCTTGTTGTTTATGCAGATGTTATTGGTGTTGCTATAGAAGTTCGACATAAACAAATTATCCAGACTCATTTTGGTATTGAGGTCAGTCTTCAAGATGTCGTGTTGATAGACAAACATTTCCAAACCGTAATATTCACTTTATGGGACACTTTCGTTGAAAGAGAGTGTGTAACTATTCTTCAGAACTTACCAACGAAACCTGTTGTGTGGGCTACAAATCTTAGGGTTTCCTCTTTCAATGGTAACTACAACTTCAACTTAACATTTAATTTTAAACATTATACTCAAAAGAAAATTAACGT